GAGTGTTGTTATTATGCATATCGGAATGTCAAATTTGTTTTTATTTAAAGTTGCCAATGCAACATTGAGGGAAATAGATGTGCAAATTGCATATATTTTAATCAGATATATCAAGAAATTATAACACCGACCATGTACCAACAGGTCAAAAATGCCCAGTTTATAAGTATATGCAGTCTAAATATCTTGATTCAATCGATTTTTGAATCTAAAAAAAAACTAATAGATAAAAAAGTAAAATAAATGAAGCAACATTCCCAAAAACATAATTTTTTTACGATTGACCGTTATATAACTAGTTTTAAGATTAACAAAATAAAAAGAAATTATATATTTCACAAGAATCAATTAGATGCTTTGATGACCAATGAAACACACATTTACAACTTTTCCACATAAACTTAAGAAGTCTTAATCAAAACTCAGATTCACTGAAACATTGCATTTATTCTTTATCTGACACATTCGATATTGTGATATTAGCGGAAACGTGGCAGTTATTCTGCCTTTTATATGGTTTTGTACTAAGTTATGGATCAGTACATAAGGGATATCAATTATACTCAATTTAATACCAAAATTCTGAATAATGCTTCAGAGTATAATATTTCAGAAGGGAAACAGTTTAGCATATTTCATCAAAATTTTAGAAGTAGAATTTTGAAGAATTAGAAATATACTTAATTTCTAATAGGAAATTCGACGTTATCATTTTAACTGAAACTTGGAGTATTGCAGATGTTATTTTTTTAAGCTAAATGATTATAAATTTTAACCAAAATGATGGTGTTATCATCTACGTAAATGGAATCCCAAATTCTACGTCAGACACTATACAGTTCACCTAGTGTACAGCGGTACTTACTAAGATAAATATACATAAAATTGTTATCTCAATAATATCTTTCTATAGACCACCCTCAACTGATATAAAACAATTCCTAGTCGATCTCAAATATTATTTAAAAGTTCGTGTTCTAAATACAGACTTCTGCGTTTTAAATGGAGACATCAACATAAACGTTTTAGATAGTAACAATTTGCCTGTTCTAAAATATCTAACAAGAAAATCATAATTATAAAGCTTTCGTAATAAAATCAGGTATTACTGATCACTAAAGTACATTATCAACTCTATCTCTCAAACTTGAAGATTTTGTACATACTAACCCTAATAAAGAGAAGTATAAAGAATATATAGACTACTAAAAATTAATAATAGACTTAAAATCTTAAGCCTGGAACAACTTATATAATATAAAAAATGTTCACGTTGCAACTAAATATCTGACTACAACAATCACTGGAAGTATATCGAAAAATACCAAGAAAATTAAAATAAATCGTAAAGGCAGTCCAAGAAAAAACTGGCTAACTGCTGGACTAATTAAATCTACCAATGAAAAAAACAAGACATATAAATTATATAAGACAAATGCAACAGACGAAACAAAACAAAATTATTTGTACTACAAAACTAAACTCTGCCAATTGATCAACATTTCCAAACAAAAATATTACACAGAAAAAACTACAAAAGAACAAATCTAACATAGGTTAGTAGGTAGTATGTTACGTGAATAAACTTATTATTATTGTCATTATTATTATTATTATTGTTATTATTATTTAAGAAAAAATACACACTGATAGCTTGAAAATATGGCTAGGTGCTTCAGTAAGAATACGATAGCGTTTGAATATTTCCCTGCAAGATGACGGTGAATTTTAAAACATTCATTGAGCTCAAGTCGTCAGAAAAAATTTGATTATCAGTGTATATTATTTAGGCCCGTATCGTCAGTCGTCCCTACAATTGTAGGGCGCCTTTATGGCCTCCTTGATTGTCGTAGTTTTCTACTTCTCCGTGTCAGCGCTCTATTTTGAGGTTATGTCACAAACATCTATTTGCATCAAATTGTGCTTGCTTTTGAGTTACATCAGGTTTTATCAGCCTGAAATTTCCTACAATTTAAAAAGAAAACATATCTCCACAGTAAGAGAGCGCTGACGCTGACACGGGACAAGTGTAATCTAGAAATTTTTGAAGGAGAGAAAGAAGTATGACAATCAAGGAGGCCATAAACGCGCCCTACAATTGTAGGGACGACTGACTATACGGGCCTAAAATGATAGACACGGAGTTCACACGGTTACGTTGCGATGATCTCCCAGAAGAAGCGATATCTCGACATTTCTCACCAGAATTGATATTCCTCTAATTTAATCAGCAGCAGACAGCGAAACAAAAGTTGTCACTTCAGCTTACCCATTTTCAAAGGCGTGACATAAAGCGTCTCATTATCCGCTTCCACCCCAAATTTCCCCTTCGCGAGGAATATTGTTAAATTGGTTAGTGTCATAGGGCGGACAGACAACCCGAAGAAATCGATATGTAACGTCGATCGAAAGAGATGAACCATTTTCGAGCGATGTTTCACTCGCGGTTCAGTGACGTCGCGATAAATGGAACAGTATACAGCGAGGGTTTGGTTACGTTCAGTTGGCAACTAGTCTTGTCCCAAGGAAGATCCGCAAGGGAAGATCGTCAAGCTTCCTTCTCCTAGTCTCAGGCCTTCCAGCGTGAAAGATCAGCTTCAGCGTTTACGTATGCACTTATGTCTATCAAAAACACATAGGATGTGAGCCTCCTCATAATTATACTCCTCAGTTCTGTAATGTAAGGTTCAAAGTTGATCGATGGTGCTGGAAATCGTACTGCCTAATCAAGCCACGATGCTTGAGATATTTTAGAATCTCCTTATTGACGCACACTTTTGCAATCGGACTGAACATAAGTAAAATTCCATTCTCCTGTGGAAATACCTGTGTCGTAAGATATCTAAACGAGACCTGAATAAACATGGTCAAGCTGACTCGTGTTTCTTCAGTATGATGGCGGAGAACATGACAGGATCAGAAGTTTTGTTGGTATCAACTGAAATATTCATTAGCCGAAGGACGTCCTCTAGAAAAAGATGGCGGTTTCTTGTTTTGTTGTAACTGTGGCAAGCCGCCGTCTACATAATAATTGATCCATATGTCCTCCGTGCGATCTATAAAGTTGCCAGGAATTATGAACAGCCATATCAATACAGTGACTGATCAATGAAAAATACCGCTTTTTACTCCGGATGGAATGCGATACAGACCAATATTTTGATCACAACGATCAACGCCACCCATATTTGCGTTGTATACATTTACAAGATGAGGCTGTTCTACCTAAAATCAAAAGCATTTTGATTTTCTTGCAGATTGTGTTTCTTACCTGAATACTTTTTTTATCTTTTTTAAATAGCTATTTGTCGAATTGTATACTTGTATTGTATATTTGTTTGTTTGGTTAAAGAAGTATTTTTCAATTATTGCGAATAGTTCTGTCCAAATTATTCAAAAAATTCTGACTGGTTGACTGACGTTACTGTTGTTGTCAATTCTTCCACCGCGAAACTCGTTCATATGATACCCCACACAGAGACAACTTGTACCTAAAGCAACATAGACTGGCTGAAACGAGAAATGGCATCAAATTTTATAATACAAGCTGGGCCATTACGTAGATCAGACCTTAAAAATCATAGAAAAAAGAACAGCAAAGCGTTAGATAAATAATTTATATTTTCGATGAGGTAGACACATGGGAACTCTATTATTTTTTTAAATAACATCACTGAGATGTGAGCCATCGAGCCGTACGCACTCCTCGAATCTCGACTCCAAATTCGTGAAAACTCGCTGGCACATCCAATGGCATGAGATCTAAACATTCGTTGGCGGAATAGGATGTCACCCAATTTGTTCAAACCAGACCCTGCTATGGTAGGTTTCAAAATTATGCAGTGGTGGAAAAAAGTTGCGTAGCAATGGCGTCTGGCGATTAGAATTTATCGGTGTACGTATCGGTGAACGCCACAACTCCAAACGAGCTTATTATTCGAAATCGACTGGCCTATCACTGAGAGTGAGACGTCGGAATATTAAAAGACGATCGTCCGCGTCAACGGTGCGGCGGCTGGTAATATGTGTCGGTCGCTCTTGCCCCCGCAAGCCCCCCGCCAACAAGCTATCAGCAAGCTGTAGCGCGAAAACTACGCATTTTAGCAAAAAATTTGCAGAGATCTTTTTGATGACTCAAAAATCATAAAGATTTACGTGTAAGAAAATCCCAGATATACTCAGCCGTTTCAGCGAAAAAGAGGTTTTTTGGAGTTTTCGCTGTTTTACAAAAAACAGCTGGCTTCCGGAAAACCAAACTCTAACGACAATACTTGCAACTTTTAATTACACCATTACGCCAGCGGACATAACTTTGTGGCTATGTTATCACTTTTGCTTCAGTTTCGGCTATTTAATTGGACTAAATATACAGGGTTACTTCAAAGGGCATTGTATAGCAAAATAGACTAGCTTACCTTGCCGATATGAATCCCAAACCATTCCGGAAGATTAATGTTATTTTTATGAAAAAAGGATGTGTTACGTTTCTTCTTCTAAACAAATTCAAACATTTCGCATTTGTGAGTAATGCGCAACAAAATATGATAGACACATCCGCTGTGTTTTAAAATGTGTAGAATAAGGAATGTTTTTAGAATAACGTAGCGCATTTGTCCAATTACTCACAAATACGAAATGTTTGAATTCGTTTAAAAGACAAAAAAGCAACCTTTGTTTTTTTGCATAAAATGTTACAAGTTCAAAATTTATTACCTCCAGTGCAGCCAGAAATTGTACTTATTTTGTGCAAGTCTTATAGAAGCTAGTTTTCTTTGTAAAGAGAATCGTTTCCCAGAAAAGAAAGGTTTGTACTGTTACCTGTGTCCGTTATCTCAAGCCAAAACAGGGACAAGTAATCTAACAGATCTGCTGATTATAGATGAACTTCTTTCGCAAACCCCAATTTTAAAGATGTCTTATGTACCTGCAACTCTGTTCCTATGATTTCCATCTAGGTTTAAGATATTGTAGCTAGAAATAATATGCTGTATATCCTTTCCAGTGTTTTTGTTGATTTAGTTATTGACATTGTACAGTGCATTTTGCATTCAGTGTATACAGTATTCTTTGGATTCCACCTGGTGAACCTGCCCTGGCGAACCTGAAACAAAACAAAATAAGTAGCAGATACTTAACTCACACTATTGTAGTCAAATTACTTGCTCCCTTTTATAAATTAGTGTCAAGTGAGCTGTCACTGTCAACGGTGAAAATCATAGCATGGCAACTGGCGTGGAAATATCAGGCGCGAGACGCGCGCAACAAGTAGCTAAAAAGATATCACCATTGCAATTTTTCGGTATCGCAAGTGCGGACTTGGTTCCGAAAAATAGGTGAATAAAAGAAATATCCTCAAAATTTTAAGTGCTGTAGGCGTTCGGACCACTAGTATTGTGGGATCATCATCATCATTATTGCTGCCTTTAGCTTATGCTTGAAGCACTCATGTAGTGAATGATTAATTGCTTTGTAGTGCATGTAGCTTACGCTTGACTTTTGTCCACAGGCCTCTCTCCTCTTTTTCTTTTTTTTCTTCTTTCCTTCAACGTTTTCTACTTCCTGTCTGTTTTCTTCTTCATTCTTCGTACATAACTGAGACCAGGATTTGACCAGAACTCCAACCTCAGAAGATAACCTGCTACATTGAAGCTAGCATCGCTTGTAACCTTAACGTTGCATCGCTTTTCCTGGCTTTATACAGAGTATCAGATTTGTTCACTGTAAGATTATCAACTAGCAGTAGATCTCGCCATATACATATCCGGGGGCGGAGGTTCTTTCGTAAAACATCACTTTGCCCAGTAAATCGAGTAATATTAGACATAGCATATCTGAATGTTACGACTTCTTGTACTTCTTGTACTCCTAGGAGGTAACATATAAAGTAGCCGACCTCTCTTTTCGTGGGATTCTTATACATAGAACACGGCATTGTCTTTTCAATCGTTTCAATCTGAACCTTGTAATTTCTTTCATTGTTTACAATTTCTACAGACAGTTGGACAGGTTGGAAATTTGCTACCGTAGAAACACGAAACTCCATATAGAACTGGACTCCCTGACCCCACTACCTGGGAGTAGTCACGGCGATTGCACTTATTACTTTTGTTGGTGCACTCCTTGGCCGCTCCACTGCTTTTATCTTCTGCCAACATTGTTTCCACCCTCTTCAACTCTGCTTCCGTCTGCTAACAATATATCAACTCTCTGCACCTCTGCTTCCTTCACTGCTACTGCAGTTGGCGGATTCTAATTCTTTCCTGCAGCCTCCATCTCAGTCTCGCATTACGCGACATCACTGGAGGTACATCCCTAATAAAGGGTATATTTTCTACATTAGGGATGTAAGTCTCACAAGGTGGATCATCATCCAAATTTTCTTCCGTTGGTACTTCCGGAGCAGGGTTCCTGGGTCCATATCTTCGGAATCCATCCCGCCGAAACGGTGTAGTGTCCATGGGCGTCCTGGATCCCGTCAGCTGGTTAGGTGGTGTGTTATCCATGAGACATCGATCATCATCCCAACTTTCTTCTTCTTGAGGAGAAGACTTTATCTTAAACGGTCTTACCATCGCCACAGGCTTTCCTTCGCACACCGTAGGCAACTTAAATTTCTGTAGACTCATTGCTTCTTACACACTGTTTGCTAACAACTGACCTCTCCGCGCGTTCCACAATTTAAGCACATATTGCCAAGGTCATCCCTTCTGCATCTCAAGGTCGTTCACTCCTGCAGGGTCACACCCACTCAAGGTCGAGAGTGTTCGAGGTCATATATGTTCAAGGTCACACTTCCAGATCACTCGGAAACTCAAGGTCACATTTCAAGATCACGCTTCAAGGTCACACTTCATGGTCACTCGAAACTCAAGGTCACACTTCAAGGTCACTCGGAAACTCAATGTTACGTTTCAAGGTTGGCACCGAAGGTCAGCTCTCAAGGTCGTTTGGAACCGAAGGTCGGCGCTCCCTTCTACATCTCATGGTCGTTCACTCCTACAAGGTCACACCCACTCAAGGTCGAGAGTGCTCGAGGTCATATATGTTCAAGGTCACTCGAAAACTTAAGGTCACTCGGAAACTCAAGGTCACGTTTCAAGATCATACTTCAAGGACACCTTTCAAGGTTGGCACCGAATGTCAGCTCTCAAGGTCGTTTGGCACCTTCTAAATCTCAAGGTCGTTCACTCCTACAAGGTCACTCCCACTCAAGGTCGAGAGTGCTCGAGGTCATATATGTTCAAGGTCACACTTCAAGGTCACTCTGGAACTCAAGGTCACGTTTCAAGTTCACGCTTCGAGGTCACATTTCAAGGTTACATTTCAATGTACCAGTTCAAGGTCACTCGGAAACATAAGGTCACACTTCAAGGTCACTCGGAAACTCAAGGTCACATTTCAAGGTCACATTTCAAGGTCACACTTCAAGGCCACAGGTTGGCACCGAAGGTCAGCTTCCAAGTTCGTTTGGCACCGAAGGTCCGCGCTCAAGGGCGTCCCAGAACATACAAACCCTATCTACTATAGTAGTAGTACTTTTTTTACAGCACATAATAGATGTTCGTAAATCATAAACTAGTTGGCGGCTGATCACCATCGATCGCCGGCATCATCCCGCACCACACCATAGCAAAAAACACATTTATCTTTCAGAATGTTTCCTCTGTTCGTATTGACCTTGGACACCAACCCAACTCAAACCATAACCATGTATATATTAATTATTATAGTTTTATCTCCCATGACATTTATTTATTGATTTGATGTTGCTCGTTATAATTTTATCTTTTATACCTTTTATTGTCACCCTTTTAGTCATATGTGAGTGTGAGTGTAGTATGTAGTTTTTGTTATTATATGGATTGTTTGCTATTTATTTTCTTCTAGCCACTGAGCTTCTATTATATTGTGTAAGCACGTTTTGTGTAATAACGACCTTTCAAACAAGCTATTCCTCGATGCCCCTTGTCATTTAAAAATTTTAAGGGAATGACCTTGAGGAGTCGAGGGTGAAAAAGGGTGAAGTAGTTTTTGGTTAAAAGGCTGTCTCCCTTGGCGAGTCTTTTGAGGTGTCCCAACGTTTTTTTCTTATAATCAGTGGTTTTAAATAGATCCGTGGTAGGAAACTTTAAACGTTCACTTGAGACCACTTGTACCTAAGTAACAAGTCCAATAATTTTTCCGTATTCCTACTGAAGAACGGTTGCTACGCCCTTGTCTGGTTTTATTTCAGTCCTTCATATATTTCATCGGCTAGAAGTGCTTTGGCAGATATTGCGAATACTTGTGAGTGTTAGTGTAGCTTTTCATTTTTCAAGAAAAATGGTTCTGTGAGAATCGAGCTGTGATGACGCATCAAAGAAGAAAAGGGCATTTATTTTTCCGTATAGTTCAGCTTAGATTTATAGGGAAGTTATGCATATGTCACATGGCCCGATCCAATAAAAATGAAAGGAGGGTCAATATAGCAACTTGTCGATTTTGTAGACGCACTGCGTGCCGATTAGATAGAATCAGGTGCATATGTAGAATAGCCGCACGGTACTCCATGGGAGTTCAAGCCTTAAGACTGTTTTAGACTACACAATTTCTTGTTCAAGATTTGGTTCAATTTCTTGAACAAGCTCTTGAACGAAAAATTGTTTACTGTCGCTAAAATGCTGTTTTACATTCAAACAATCTATTGTTCAAGAAATAGCTTAGTCTGTCTGCAAATGCCAAAGTTGTCAGTGTCACTGACAATTATTTTCTTCCATCCATTTTATAGCCTTTTTTGGGGTATGGCACGCTGCACCATCTTGCTGAAACACAAAATCTTGGCCGGATGTCAAACATTCTTCCGTCACTGGTAAAAGCGATTCTTCTAAAATTTCCAAATATTTGTTTGTATCCACATTTCCATCAATAAAATGAAGTCTTCCTACTGCTTTTGACGACATACTGCCCCAGACCATAATGGATGCTGTAAATTTCACTTTTCTCTTCAGACAGTCAACAAGAAATGCTTCATTTTTTGCGAATAACTCTACTGCTACTTTCACCAACACAAACTTCGAATCGGGCCTCATCACTCCATTGTATTGGACATCATTGTTGAGGTGTCCCTTGTCTACGTTCTTTAGCCCATCTAAGCCGATTTTTCTTTTGCAGTGGAGTTAATAGTGGCTTTTCTTTGGCCTATAAACAAGTTGTGCAACTTTAGGGTTTTTACTTCACTTTTTTTATAAGAAAACTTACCTTGCATGTGCTAAATCCCAGTTTGTGGGCCTCTCTATGAGTTGTGACCTCAAAACTCTCCTTACAACAGCGTCACTCCACAGAGCACTTAATTGTAAATAATTGGCACGCCTGTTTTTCACGATTATTCTTCTTAATGCTCTTCGGTCTTAGATCTATTTTCTGGAATGGACTCATGTCAGATTCCCAGTTTTCTAGGAAGGTGCCGGATTCGTAAGATACCTGAAGGGACAGGATGCGTGGTCAGAAAAATATACAGCAGGCTACAGGCATGTCACGAAATGCGGGGGAAAAAGTATGGCTCGTTACCAGCTGAGTCAGCCTTGGGTAATAGCGAACGCTTCAATTGCACGACCTGCTGCATCGGTCTTGTTGGAGCCCAACCAAAGCTCATTATGAGCATTGAAATCACAGAGGAATACTACCTCTGAAGCGGGGTGATGTTCAGGAAGTTTGACAGCGAGATATTTAAGTAGGTCAACCCAGTTGTGGTCGGAGAAAGAGCAATAAAGGCAGCAAATAAATGTTGGTGATGTCTTGGAGTTGAGGCGAAGAAAATTCTCTGGAGCAGGAAACACTACTGATTTCAGCATTCAAGCTTTTAAGCATACGAAAAGGACAAAGCACGTTTACAGATACCTGTATTGATGAGTGTAACAATAACTCCGGTATTTTTTTTTGGTTTGGGCGACAATCATAAATCGGGTGTATAAAACTGACTCAGGTACCCGCGAAAAACTGAATCATAAACTAGGGGCGTTATTACGGAATATAACTGCGGAACAATTAATCAATGCGGTGCAAGCAACAATTGATAAAGTTGAATTTCGCCATGATCAAGGCAGCCACTCTTAGCTATTAAAATCTTAACGGCACATCTTTGAACTTTGTTTTTTGTTATAATAATGATAGTTTATGCATTTAATTCATTTATATGATTTACTCCATCATAGGCCGTCTATTTCTTGTTCATCACTGACGATAAAGTTACTCGCATTTTCTTCTGGTTCGTTGCACATTTTGAATTTCGAAAGTAACACCTTCGACTGATCGTCACGGATAACTAGAATAATAGGAGCTGGTGCACAGGCATACCGAATGCAGGTACCTATTATTTGTGTTGATCGTTTCTTACAATTATTCAGAAAAATAGTGAAAATAAAATAACGGTGCGTAGTGTCAAATTATTCGTAAGGAAAAAGCCGACGAGTCACGTCCTTTCTATTTAAAAAAAATAGTGTTTGTTACATTTAGAAAATCTCTAGACCGACTGCGAGGATCAAAATCGTATTTCACTCGTGTTACTTGATCAAAAATGAAGCTATTTACACGATTCATGGCATTCTAGATCGAAAAATAACAGTTGAAACAAAAATGATTTTACCTGCCAAATATCGACAAGTCAGGCGTTGTTGACTGTAATTCTCGATGGAAATAGGTAAAAATGTACAGGGTGTCGCGTTTAGAAATCGTAAGTTGGAATCGTTTCTTGTCAAACCGGAAGTACATCAGAGCAAGTCAATATGTCAGGAAAAAAACGCATGTTTTCTGAGTGAATAGTGTTTCGCAAAGGGAAGAGGGTTGACCTTGCCTCACCGCCAGCGGAGAACACAGGCAATGCAGTTTTAGCTATGGCACAAACGATGATTCTGTAGTAACCGTGCAACGTTTATTCCATCGACAGTTCAATGTTGAACGCCAAGGGTCAATTCCCGTACCGTTCGAACACCAGGCAATATCGAAATAGTGAGAAGAGCAGTCCTTGATAGTCCTCAACGGTCCACAAGGCGACAAGCTCCAGCTCTGCGTATGTCCCGTCGATCGTTACAACGCATTCTGCATGATTTACAATTTCATCCATATAAGATAATGATTGTGCAAGAGCTAACAGAAAGTAATTTTGCATAGCGTAGACAGTTTTTTGCGCGAATGCTGACCATTTTTGCTGATGATCCTAACGTCGTCATAATGATATGTAAACAAGCAGAGCTGTAGGTGTTGGGTGGCCAAAAATCCACGAGAGCTACACCAACGACCCTTGCATAGTGAAAAATTGACTGCGTGGTGCGGAATTAGTAAATTAGGTATCATTCGTCCTTACTCTTTTGAGGAGGAAGAAAGAGCAGTAACAGCTACTGCAGCACGTTATGTTCACATGTTACAAAATTTTCTGTTACCGGAACTTCAACCCGTTTCGGCGCTGTCCCTTGGCCTCCACGCTCCCCAGATTTGTCTGCATGTGACTTCTTTTTGTGAGGTTACCTTAAGGCTGAAGTGTACCCTCACAAACCCCGTACGTTACAGGAACTGAAAATTGCTATTCTTCAAGAACTCGCAAGAATGCCACAAGAAATGATCATACGTGTAATGCACAACTTTCAACAGCGGTTGGAGATGTGCGAGCGCGAAGAAGGGCGACACTTGAGTGGCATAACTTACCATAATTAATTTAAAAGTGCACTATTACTACTTTATTTAGCTGTAGTTAAAACAAAATTATATTAAACATAAAAAACATTATGCTCACGTGAAGCTCATGCGTTCCCTCTGCGCCACCCTGTATAAAACGCAACCTCCAAATTTCGTCAATAATAAAAAAGTTACATGAGTGAGCGACCTTGGAGAATCACCCGGTATAAGTCGAAATCTTCCGTAGCTGAAAAGCCAAAAGCACCGAAGCGGCTCCACATTCTGACATCATCAAAGCACACCACAAGACATGACATTTTTGTGGCGATAACTTATATTATAGATAAGCGTTACAGTTCAGTAGCAGCCAATCAGGCTCATCAATCAGCGGCACTGCTGACAGGGGCGATAAGGGTAACGAACGACGGCCGTTCGACGAAGTGACTCTTTGAGAAGTTGACTCCGCTCGTATCTGCATCGATTCCTGCTTCCCATCCATCCTCCTCCATCATAAAGGTAAACACCTTTTTTGTACATGTGAGTAGATTCGGCGACCCTTGCATAGTTCACTTTGCATATTGTACTAGCAGCGGATTCGAGGAGGGAGTAGCAACCATCTTATGATAAATGAATGTACGAGCCCCTTCGCACTTCAGTTGGCCCAGTTCAAGATTTGTACCAAAATAAACTAAACATGACGAAACTACTTACTTCTAAAACAATTTATTTTCTCAAAAATATTTTAGGTACACTCTAGTTGTAAAAAATACATATTTGAAATCACTTAGACCTATAACTAATAGAACATCTGAACAAATAATTACCATTGGGTAACACCAACTTTATTTTTTATAACGGCTGAAATTCTTTGGGGCATAGTGTTAACCAAGTTTTGGCAAAGATTTGGTGTAAAACAAATTA